CTTTCTTTCTTTCTTTCTTTCTTTCTTTCTTTCTTTCTTTCTTTCTTTCTTTCTTTCTTTCTTTTTTCTCTCCTGATATTGGGGATTGAACTCAGGACCCTGGTTTGCCAGACAAGCACTTATTCTACTGAGCTATCTCCTGTCTTTCAAGACAGGGTCTCGCTATGCAATTCAGGCTGTCCTTGAACTCACTATGTAGTCCGGGCTGGCTTCCAACTCTTGGTGATTCTCCTTGCCTAAGCTTTCTGAGTGCTGGAATTACAGTGAATCACCATATCTACCTGGTCTTTATTTATATTTTAATATATTTACTCAAATTTAAAAATAAACATAGCCATTAATGTACTCAGGAGTTTTGGATTCCTTAATTAATTTTTTGGCAGAACCGGGGATTGAACCAAGGTCCTTTCTCTACTGAGTCATCTCCCCTCCTTGGCCCCCCCTTTTTTGTCTTTCTGACACAGGGTTTTGCTGTACAGCTCAGCCTGGGATTGAGCTCACTTTTTAGCCCAGGCTGGCCTTAATCTCGAAACTATCCTCCTGCCTCAGCCTCCCAAGTGCTAGGACTACAGGTCACCACGCTCAGCTCCAATTTTATATTTTGAAATACCTTTATTATGAAATATTTCAAAAGAAGGTATCTAATATATGTATCCACTACTAAAACTTAAAATTTTACTAAAATCACACTCACTAGCCACCTGGAAAAAATACATATTTTATTTTTTGCAGTTCTGAGTATCAAACCCTGGACCCTGCCAATCTTTGCCAAGTACTTTACAACTGAGCTACAACACTAATCCCTTCATAGTAATCTTTTAATAAGAAATGTCATATACTAGCCTGCTTCTCCAGCCCCAGTGACTTTTTTTTTTTTTTTTTTTGTCTCTTTAGCCAAACTCAAGAAAATTATAAACGTTGTTTTTAGCTCCACATTTTCCTATAGGGTTTTTTTTTTTTTTTTTTAAGGAACTAGGAGTTGAACTCAGGCCCTCGCACTTGCCAGGGAAGCGCTTATTCTACTGAGCCATCTCCCTGGCCCCCCAATGACATCTCTTTTAAATTTTTTTTTTTTTTTTTTAAAGACAGGGTCTCCCTGTGATGTGATCCTCCTAACTCAGCCTCCCAAGTGCTGGGATTATGGTTATGTACAAATCCCATCTCAAGGAGTCTTATTTTGGAAATAGGGGCAAAACAGCCTAGTAAGAGGTTTAATGGTTAAGAACCTATTCTACAGTCAGAACATTGAGATTCAAATCTACCTCTGCCATTTAGTACCATAGTGATTGGGAAAAAATGTGTTTAACTTTCCCCTCTCTGAGTAAGGGGTAAAATATTGAACTTATGATAGGATTGAATGAATTCCTCAGAACCACTAGGTATATAATAAGCTTTTATCATTAAATGTTAACTATTCTTAACAGTTTGACTCTCTAAATTAAATGTAGGGTGGGCTCTGGAGTTCACATCATTTTTAGAATTTAAGTATTTAATTAAAGGTACAATAGTTTTAAATGAGATTAAGACTTTGTAATTACTTATTTATTTATTTGGTACAGGGTATTGCTATACAGCTCAGACTCGTAGTGATCCTCCTGTCTCAGCCTCCTCAACACTCAGATTACAGGCACTCAGCATGGTATGCAGTACCAGGAATCAAACCCAGGTCCTTGCATTTGTCAGACAGGCACTTAGACCACTGAGCTATCTCCCCAGCCCCAACACTATTTTTAACATGCAACAATATACACTATATGTGCTGTAAGACATTTTAACAGCAATTCCATTTATTTCATGTTGAATTACAACAAAAATTGGCATCGTTACTCCAGTTTTAAATAATTGGAACCTCACCTACCATTTATATCTGCTCTGATTCATCATAACAGACAAAAGATAAAAGAAATAAGTACTAAGAATTCGTTTGTTTCCTCCCTCCCTCCCTCAACCGTGGTACCAAGAATTGAACTTGGGACCCTGTGCTCGCCAGGCAGGTGCTTATCCCACTGAGCCCAAGTACTAAAAATTTGGTCAAACCTGTAATGTTTGTAAAATGTGATTATATGTGAAATTATTCCAACTGAGAATCTTAAACCTCTTAAACCTGCATACTTTACAGATGGGTAAATGGCTTCCAGGGAAGACAATATGTAGTTAAACACTGTGTTAACTAACACAATGACAAAAACTCAAAGGGAACAATGAAGGAAGAGGCAATGACGAAACAGAGATGTTAAGACTCTCAAAGAAATATTAGAGGGCGCTGGATAAACCTTTATAACATTAATCAAATATTTACAAATATACAAACAAACTGCTCTTCTGATATGACAAGATAGCGCATGACACTGAACCTGTGTGAAAACAACTTACAAAGGCCTGACATGCAGTATTTACTTTAATACTCCTTTCTTAAATAAATGCATTACAAATCACAAATTACAAAAACTCCAAGATTAGTCTGAAGAAGAAGCAAAAAAGGATCTACCTTGTCAATAATGGACTGCATATGAGATTTATGAGACTGGTCTCCATAAAGCAGAGAGGACCACTGGTCTGGTGCAATTCTCAAACCTGCTTCCATAGCAATCTGCACTATCTGGGAATCATGCTCTCGCCGCAGAGCCTCATATGTTCTGAATTCTTCTTTCAGCTGCATCAAAGAAGAATCTTCGTCACGCTTGGTGACCTGGTAAAATATAAACAGTTTCATAATAAGGGTTTATATATTAATACACAAAGATAATCTGTATGTGTGAAATAGGAATTAAACCCAGGTCATTCACATAGACCTATATCCTCACCTCCTTTATTAAATTTTTATTTCAAGAAAATTTTGTTAAACTGCACAGGCTGCCCTTAAACTTGTGATTCTCTTGCCCTAGCCTCCTTGGTAGCTGGGATTAGAGGGGTAAACAGCAGCATAATTGTTAATGTAACAAATTTCTTCTAGCAACAATAACAAATTTAGCCTGGCATGGTGGTACATGCCTGTAATCCCAGAATTTGGGGGGGGGGGGGGCTGAGACAGGAGAACCACCATGAGTTCAAGGCCAGCCCGCACCACATGCCAAGACTCTTGTCTCAAAAAACCAACAAAAAAACAGTACACTTTTGCTTGTAACACTTTCCATTATAGATGCCAAAATTTCCTGGGACAGGTTTTACAAAAAGAATAAATGTGTATAAGAAATTCAAAGACTGAATAGAACTTAATGTAAACGTGCATTTTAATGTGCATGAGTTGGATACAGTGGTACACACCTGTAATCCCCACATACTCTGGCCGAAGGATCACAAGTTTGAGGCCAGGAGGGGTTAACATAGTGAGATACTGTCTAAAAGCAAAACAGAACAAGCTACCACTTATTAAGCACTTAGTATGTGCCAGTTAGTAGGTTAAATTACCTAATTATTAATTCTACTACTATATTAACTCATTTAATTCTCTTGTTGATATAAGTACTACTGCTATTGCTATAATAATTTACATTTTGAGTCCAGCTGGATTTAGGCTAAATGCTTAACTATTCAAAGTTTAGGATCATGTATTCTTTAACATATTCTGAATCATATTTTTTGCCTTAACCTTTAATTTCACAAAAGTCTATTATTAATTCTGATAGAAAATTCCCTTTTCTTCCTACCACCTAAAAAATTACATAATACTGTAGTCAGGAATTTTAGGTTGCACTAATACTAAATTTTAAAATGTGTCCCACTCTTATTACAAAGAAAGGCATCAAATAGATAAAAATTAAGAACTGTAGTCAAAAACACTAAATTATCCTGGCATTTTGGTTCACACCTGTGATATTAGTACTTGAGAAGCAGAGAAAGGAGAATTACCAGGAGTTTGAGGCCAGCCTAGGCTACACACTGAGTTCAAAGCAAACCTGAAACTACGTTAAGACCGTATCTCAAAAAAGAAAGAAAAAAAGGATAAACAAAAAGGAAAACAATCCCAAATTGTATTTTGCCACATTCAAATGCACATGAAAAAAAACCACAACTGCATATGAATTTGTATGAAAACATTCCCTCAATACAGGTTAAACTTCACTAAGTGGCAAAATATGCTTTCTATATACTATATTGGTTCCTTAGGCTTCGCTTCCAGTACTCTAATGGAAAAAAAATTTCCAGGAGATGCATTATATTAAGTCCTAAAGCTGTAATATACTAAGAAAAATATTATCTTGAAAACAGCTTGAAAAATGTTTCAAAATAGAAGATATACTAAAAAGAAAGTCATAGCATAGCTACATGGATACATATTTCTATAAAGGATGACTGAATAGGAACTATGTTTAAATTACAGCAAAAAGTTATTTGTTTTGGTAGTGCTAAAGATCAAAACCAAGCCCAGCAAGTAGTGTATCACTGAGCTATTACCCTCAACCCATGGTTAACGCTTTTAACTAGAATTGAGAGGTTCACTCTGTGGGTAGTCTCTGTGTTGTATGTGTGCGCACACGCATGCATTTGTATGCCCCATGGCTTCTTACATACTAGAAAAACAGTCTACCATAGCTACATCTCCAGCTCTCTTCTAAGAAAAGAATTTGCTAAGTTGTCTAGGCTGGCCTTGAACTTAAGATACTTCTTCTGTATACTTTAGGGTAGCTGGTATCTTAGGCCTATATCGCTGAACTTAGCTGAGCCACTTATTTTTTTTTCCATAGGTAAAGAACTGCAAATTTTTTTCCTGTCCTTTCATTATCTTTTTAAGCTTTTGTATTTTATCTGTGTGGTACTATTAGTGGAATTAACAAATAACAGTGGAAATAGAGACACTGTGAAATATACCCCAGATTACATGCTATAATAACTTTACCCTAACCACTATAATACAGTGACCTAACTGTATGCAGAGATAATCTGGACCAGTTGAATTTTGGCTACAAGTTTTGACAGCATTGGGGGCCCTCAGGAAAATGGAGAATCAGATGAAGGAATATGATGATCTCTGGACTGACTTGCCCATAGCTAGCATGTTCAAGAAGTATAGTTACAAGTTGTATCAAGAGCAAACTCTTTGGGGCTGGTGAGATGGCTCA